CAAATATTCTGCTGATGTGAGCAGGTTCATGGTGAGAGGAGGAGAGTAGCACAGTGCAAAAGAAATCACTGTGGAGTCAGAACTGGGTTTAAAACCTGACTACAGGGACGCCTGGGTGGCTCAGTTGGTTGGACAACTGCCTTCGGCTCAGGTCATGATCCTGGAGTCCCGGGATCGAGAGTCCCACGTCGGGCTCCCAGCTCCATGGGGAGTCTGCTTCTCTCTCTGACCTTCTCCTCGCTCATGCTCTCTCTCACTGTCTCTCAAATAAATAAAATCTTTAAAAAATATATAAATAAAAATAAAAATAAAACCTGACTACAACAAACCTTTTGACCTTGGTCCAGTCACTTAACCTCACTGAGCCAATTTTTTCATCTGTAAAATGGGGTAATACCAACTATTTTACAAGGTTAAAAGGAAGATTGAATGAGATAATGTTCTCCCACCTTTACTAGTCTGGTGTTAGTGTCCTAACTAATCTTATAGACATAAAATGTGCCTTGATGGCTGTATTGGAGACAGAATATAGGTAAGACCATGCAGTCTCAATGAGGGCAGTATTGCCCACAAGCACGGCAGGGAATGATTCTTCAGGAATAAAAATCTTAGCTATTTTAAGTTTATGCTCCTCCAAAGGGTCACAGTACATAAATAGATACATGGTATATCTTTGGTATTAAAATTCCATGGGGAAGGGTGCCTGGGTGGCTCAGTGGGTTAAAGCCTCGGCCTTCCACCCAGGTCATGATCTCAGGGTCCTGGGATGGAGCCCCACATTGGGCTTTCTGCTCAGCGGGGAGCCTGCTTCCTCCTCTCTCTCTCTCTGCCTGCCTCTGCACCTACTTGTGATCTCGGTCTGTCAAATAAATTAAAAAATTCCATGGGGAAGGAACAATTGTGGGGGAGGGGGACTCAAAAGGGGATAGTGAACAAAAGGTCGAAGAACACTTGATGAGAGGGCTCAAGAGCTGACCCACTACTTTTAAGAACCTGACCACGCTGGCGCTCTGACCTCACACTCCCAAACTCTAGAATGGGGAGAAGTAATTGTTTGCTATTTAAGCCACCCATTCTATACGACTCTATTACAGCAGCTCACAACCGACTTAGACACATCTCAATGCCTAAAACACTAAAGCCAAGGGCATTGTTAGGAGAATGAAAGCAGATATAGCCAGCCAACACAACCATACCCTTACCGATGTGCTACCTGGTTTAATCTGAAGGAACTTTAAGTCCGTGTGGAACATAATTCTGTTGCTCCTGGATTCTGGTGGAAAATAGAGGAAGGAAAGATGCAAAGTGTAAACCCTTCCCAAAGTCAGTAAAACTCTGGGAGAATTCTTCACATGTGTCCTGAGCAGCTTCTATCTTTTACAAGGTTCTTGTACCAAAGTCAAACTCAATTACTGTTGATGCTAGGAATCAGGGGTTACCCAAAGCCCCACCTGAATGGCAAGGGGCTATCCTCCTCCTCCCCTACTCAGCAGTGAAGCCCTTGGTGAAAGAACATGAAGAAAAAGGCAGGATACTGCCCCTTCAGACTACATATAATTAAAATAAGAAGTTCTATGCTATGAAAAAACTAAGGCCTGCAGCTTAAGACTGACTCAGAGAAGGATAAAGTATTCATCCTTGTTCAAAAAGAGAAAAGATTAGCCTCACAAGGACAGGTCTCCAAATTGACACCAAATCCAGGAATTAGAGATGCCTGTGCTACAGAGCGTGAGCTAAGCATCATCTGAGGCCCCAAAGAAAAATCCCCAGGAATACATGACCAAGGAGCTAGCATTTTAAGAATGTTCAGATTAGCTCTCCTGAAAAGAGGCTTACTCCAAGAGATGGCAGACAGCCTCTGCAACACAGCTTCACTGAGGAAAGAATAGAAAATAAGGAAAGGGGGTGGGAGGGAGAGGTAGGATGAGGTCAGAGTATGAATTGACAAAGATAATAACAGAGAAAGGCATCTACCTATTTGGAAAAAGATACAACTTACCTTTAAAGACTCATTATTTAGGGCACCTGGGTGGCTCAGTGGGTTAAGCCTCTGCCTTCGGTTCAAGTCATGATCTCAGGGTCCTGGGATAGAGCCCCACATCGGGGTCTCTGCTTAGCAGGGAGCCTGCTTCACCCCCCTCTCTCTCTGCCTGCCTCTGATCTCTCTGTCAAATAATTTTTTTTTTTAAAGGCTCATTTTTCAGGGGCGCCTGGGTGGCTCAGTGGGTTAATTAAGCCTCTGCCATCCGCTCAGATCATGATCTCAGGGTTGTGGGATCCAGCCGCGCATCAGCCGTGCATCAGCTCTCTGCTCAGAGGGAAGCCTGCTTCCTCCTCTCTCCGCCTTCCTCTCTGCCTACTTGTGATCTCTGTCAAGTGAATAAATAAAATCTTAAAAAAAAAAAACAGACTCATTTTTCAAAAACTATGCTCATTAATAGTAAATCTTCATTCTTTGAAGGTAGAAAGTTACTGCATTCCTATGTCCATTAATGGGTTCCTCCTCATTTAACCACTCTTCCAAGTAAGCACTCCCTTTTTTTTTTTTTTTTTTTTTGAGAATTTTAAAGTAATCTCTACACCCAAGATAGGGCTTGAATTTAGAACCCCAAGATCAAGAGACATGTTCCACCGACTGAGCCAGGTTCAGGTGCTCTAGTAGTCCCATTTTTATGCATTGGAAAACCGAGCCTGAGAGGTGACTTGTGCAAGGTCATATGGCTAGTAAGTGATAGATTCAAAACATGTTCACCACATACCAAAAATCTATTAAGTCCACTTCAAAAGAACTTTTTACTCATCTGAAGACAAGTCAGGTGAAAGTGGCTTTAACCATGCCACTTGGGGTTAAAAAAAAACCAACAGTATGGTATTATGTATTAATGAAACTGATCACTAATATGGTTCAAAAATATCTCTGAAGACAATTTCAGAGGTAGATTTTCAAAACTGCTTCAGACAATGACAGATCACTTAAGTAATGCCACACTCCCACCACTCACACCTACGCATACCACTCTAAAGGAGAACAGCACTCAATGAGGAAGTTCTAGCATGTTTACTTTAAAACTCATGTTGTTAATTTTTCAGTTTCACTTCACTAGCCTTTTATTGGGTCAGTGAAACACACCAGGGGTCAAAGTTGGCCTCTGCAGAGAATAACTAGTCTCCAAAGACACCAGGGAAGGTCAAGAAAGCAGGAATCCAAGAACAAGGCAACTTTTCATTCCTGGATCACCACCGCCTTACTAACATATTCCCCATTCCTACCCTCTGTAAAATGGGGGAAATAAGTCTTTTCTGTAGCCAATTTCACTTCAGAACACCACATAATTAGCAGATTAAATTCATTAAACAACCAAAAGAAAAACATACATCTAGTGTGGCAACACTTTCTTAAAAACCTAAGAGCCACATTCTCGGGTGGCTCAGTTGTTGGGCGTCTGCCTTCGGGTCCTGGGATCAAGCCCCACATCCGGCTCCCTGCTTGGCAGAAGCCTGCTTCTCCCTCCCTCACTCCCCCTGCTTGTGTTCCCCTCTCTCGCTGTGTCACTGTCAAATATAAAATCTTAAAAAAAAAAAAAAAAAAAAACAACCCAAGGGCCATATTCTCAACTGAAACCGCACACCAACTTAAAATCCATGTTATACATCAATCCTAACATCCTCATACCCTGGCACCCATCAAAATCCTATCCAAACCCCAAATCTGGCTGTATTTCTATCAGACAACAAAAAAAGCTTGGGTGGGGTGGGAGCTAAAAAGACACAAAGATATAAAACAAAACTTTTACACTGTCAAAACAAACACTGTTACTGTTTATAAACACATCAGTTTCTTCTTTTTTTTAATCAGTTTCTTTTTTAGGAAACAAGGAAGATTCATTCTCCTCCTGCCTACTTCATCTGAGTTAATCTAACCCCTTCAATCCCCCCCCCCCAAAGAAGTTTGTGGTTGGTTTTGTTTTACTGAGGTCAGAAAGCCACACAAACTGGAGTCAATGCCAGATATTAAACTTTTTAGTAGAAAACTGACATTACATATGCGGGGGGGGGGGGGGGGGTTTTTTTTTTTTTTTTTTTTTTTTTTTTTTTTTTT